TTAACCATGAAGTATTTTATTCTCTTCTTGTGATTCGGGTTTTTTTTCTTAGGTGTTTAGTTTTACAACTAAGACTACAAGGAAATAATGATTTCTTTGCTTTACTTCTCGTGATTGACGAAGGGCTGTCCACATTACGAATAGATTAGAAATGCAATAAATTTTTATTCTACATATAAATCCTATTTCTGCTCAAAATAGTAGCAAAATCATAAAAATAATGCAATTCATAGCAAATCAATCTATGGCCATCTTTTTACATTAAAATTTATCTCCTTTGATTTATACAAATAACATTAAATTTGCTATTAAATCCAAACACCTTATTTATGATACGAAATTTGTTTGTTATGGGTTTTTTGTCAGCTGTATAATATTACTCATCAGTCTTTCGTCCAGACTCTCTCTACTCTAATGCACTGGTTGTGATAACAAAAAAGTTGTCTTCTCATACTCACAAATAAACATTATTTTTTCTCATTTTATAAAACCGTTTTTTCTACGTCCGATACTCAGAGCGACGATCCGTTTATCGACATATATGAGTAACAGGACTTACTTTAATGTCTGTTTATGTCTTTAGATTTAACGCGATGTTTTATTATTGTAATACGAATTTTAATGTGTATATACCTAAATATATTATATCATTAAGAAATAATTGTTTTGTGTTCAATCTAATGTGATTTTTCTTTTATATTTTTTTAAATTAGTCTGCCTTCGAGTATATAATTGAATTATCAAACCTTATCATGAATTATCCAAGAAATTAGATGCGTATATCCCATATTCTTGCAATGATCTATATCATGGGTTCCCAAACTTTTCAATCCGCGACCCCCCCCCCCAAAACGATTGCTGAGACTGGTGATCCCCACTATCTTCTGAGGTGGCGGAAACCTAACAAGCATTGTGGCGTCTCGCGACCCCTCCCTTGACGTCTCGACCCCCATTTTGGGAACCCCTGCTCTATATATTAAACAAATATTTCAAAAACTATGTAAAAATAATTGCTCCAGGCGAGGCTCGAACTCGCAACCCCGGCATGTCTCCACAGAATACTGTCTATAAGTACCGTGCGCTAACCGATTGCGCCACTGGAGCTTGTTGTGGAAGGTTGAGAAAAAATAATTCAGAAAGAAAGTCGTCTACTCAGCAATAAAAACACAAAAAAAGGAAGAATGATTTTTTTCCTCAATGCTACAACATAAGCGCGAGTGCTTATAAAGTCTTTTTATCTCTATTTAATAAAGACAACAACTTCTATCTCTATTTATGAGTATATTTTCCCTTTCAGTCTAACTGATGAATGGGAGTATATCTATGTATATTATGATGATGTTATAGGAGGGATCTGAGATGGTTCTAGGAATATTTGTATATAAGCCTTTTGCATTAAGAATTTCTGATAACCACTTTAAGGTTTTTATAAGAAACTACTGACTTTTGGGCAAAGCTTATCATTCAAAATAGCTCTATTAAGCATTATTGAGTCCATTTTTGTAAATTTTATTTTAAAAACTAGTCAAATCAGTTCATTATTAACACTTTTCCTGCATAATAAATGATAATATTTGTAAAAAATTGACTCATGAGGTATATATTTCAACTGTCCCAGGGTATGATAGGTTTCGTGATGTTATAACAATAACATCAGCTGTGGAATTCATGGGCTCATAATATGGAGGATTTCGATCTGTCTGGACCCTTGAACACGCCCGCGGCTCAGGACCCTCATTCACGTCTCATTTCCATCCCGGCTTCCTCTTATCAGGTTCACTTTTAAGTTAGTGCGGAGGGCCTCCCGGAAAAGGACCTCTCTCATCATTTTTGTCGAAGGACATGCCTCCATGGTCGTTAAAGTGGAGAGAAAGAGACCCCCCCCCTCTTTTCGTATGCAATGGATCCTTTACGCTCTCTGGATCCCCGCAGTACTCCGGATTCCCCACCCCTCAGGATCCTCTCGGGATCCCTGCAGTTCTTCTTATGCTACGTCATTTTCTTCATAACTGATATCCACGAGAGTCCTATATAGAAGAAGCAGCAGCTCTGGATCCCACATGAGTTACAGAGCTCCGGGAGGAGGGCTGCTCTTTGAAGGTGGACGAAGATTATTGGACCTCTAGTTTTTTTTGCATCCGTTATTTTCTTACGCATAGCTTTTTAGTTTTTATCTCTCTCTCTCTTTGTAAACGGCCGTGGAGTGGAGTCGTTCGACAAAGATGATCGGAGAGGTCCGTGATTGAGAGTTCTTCGTCCGCTCTGGGCCTTCTCCTCCGCACTAACTTAAAGGTCCGTTTTTAACCTGATAAGACGAAGCTGGATGGAGATGTGGTTTGAAGGGCCGCGGGTGTGTTCAAGGGTTCAGACAGATCATTAAGGAGGGATTCTAGTCGAAATCCTCCATATTAATGAGGCATGAGTGCTATGATAGTTGAAATGGGTCAATTTTATAAAAACCTTATCCTTTATTTATGACGAAAAAGTGTTAAAAAATGAGCCCATTTGACGAATTGCATGAAATAAAGCTAGAAAATGACATATTAACGGCCAATAGAACTTATTGGATTCATAAGTTTAATATGAAAGCCAGTAGTTTCCTTTAAAATGCATTTTATATTGAAGTGTTGTTTGGCAAAAAAAATGTAAAAAATATATGTAAAAAGGGTTAATAGAAATTCCTTAAGTAAAAGTATTCAATAGAAATATTTCTAGAGTCCACAAGTTTAATTACAACTAATGAACTTCCTTGGGTCGTGTCTTCAAATTTCTTAATTAACTTATTAAAAAGAGTGCCATATAATTTATGTTATCAAAAACTTGGGCGGAAAAAAGTATTCTTCTTAGAATATGTTTTTAAATACATTAAAAGTATTTTTATGAAAAAATAATTGATCTTATTTCATTTAAACTACTCATAAATAGCATGCCATACAGATATAAAGAAAACAGTTCCAAAAATAAGGACTAATAACTATAATTTCTCTCGAATTGTTATATATTTAAAAAATATAAATAAATTTTGTAGTCTTTTAGATCTTAAATATCATTTGCGCACAATTGATTAAAAATAGTATTTAGAATATGATTAAGGAAATAAATTAAACACTTTGGTCAGTGAGCAGCCCCTTGACGTTACTCATTTTGTTCCAACTTTCAAAACATTATCACTGTGCACTAAGGTAAAATCCAGAAACTGCAAAATAAAACCACTCTTTTGTTTATTTATAGGCCTTCATATATCATAATGATATATAAATATATATACATTAGGATGATTCTTATTTCACGTATTCGGATTTGAGCGTTTATATTGAGGACACTTGAGGCGATTGAATGGGGAACAAAAATACTACATAACTTTTTGATCCGTTGAGGATCAAAATCTTTTTGATTCGATTTCGTTCAAACCTTCACAAGATGATCTATATGTACTAAGGTAAAATCCTAGAGGGAGCCCAACTCACAAATCCGAACTATTGAAAACAAAATCACTCTAATATACAATCATTCAAACACAATGCAAGTGTAGGCTTTATTTTAGGAGCAATATGATTCACTTAAGAATAAAACGTGTTGGATCCATCCCAGATCAAGTTTCAATGAAAGTTGAATAAGAAAGCATTTATCTATTTCAGGCTCTAATTTGTTATTGACGTAGGATTATATCGTTCCCTTGAAACGTAAAGTGAAGGGCAATATATCTTAGAACATAGAAAAATATATTATTTGATGACCTCTCATTTAATGCAGAGTCCACTTATAGAACTACACAATAAATTACATGTATTTTAGTCATTATTATGTTATAAAGTTCAATAAGTTTTAACACATCTCAATATGTTATGTCTATTTATACAAATAATTATGTTCATGATAATGTGAACATAATTCTAAGTGATTAAAAATATAATATGCGGGGGATGCTTCTATTTACTGTGATGCCATAGATTGAAAATGCATTCTTGTCTTTGTCTTTAGGGCTAATCTTTATTTTTGAAAAAACGGATTGCCAATTAGTCGCTATTAGTTTATATTATATATGATATAGGAAGAAAATGGCCCAAGAAAACATGGATCAGGAAGAAATGACCACAAAAAGATGGGAAAAGGATGACGCACGAGAAAATGACCCAAATAAGTATGTGATCCATTTAATAACAAATATAATAGGAAATGGTTCTAACTATAAAAATATTTTTTGGGGCTAACTATATCATAACTATTGATATGCAAGTACCATATCAATATTTATTAATAAAACAAACTGTAAAGAAACAGTGAATGATCTCTCTTCGTGTGGCGGGATATTAGGTTTAAAAAAGCAATAATTATGTTGTTCTGACGATACAGTCACTAGAATATAAACATCACTATATTGAATCCGTTTAACAAAGCAATGTATCGTTTAACAAGACCTCCTTCGTACATTAGGTATGTACCATGGAGATAAAAAGATATAGAGAGCTTTTCCCTTCATCTGTAATTTTGTGTTCAATATAAACAAAATAATTTATACTACGTCATGGTAAGCTGATCATAGAGGTAGAATCTATCTCTATGATCAACTTACGATTGACCGTAGTAACAATTACTTTTTTATATTGGAGACACAGAATACAGCTGAAGGACAATGTTTCTCTGCTATTGAAGCAGCTCTATATCTTTATATCTATATGTGGTATGTATATTAATGTAACGCTATTTTCGAATATTATATATATATATTTATAATGCCAATGATAATAAAATAGGCTTCAGAAGCAGATAACAGATAAAAATAAGTATCTTATTTTAGCAATTGGACACAGACTATATTTAAATTAGTATAAATTATATTGAATAAATAACAATAACTATGTAAAATTATAATATATTAATGGCAAGAAAAGAACATATATACGATAAAGTATATATACTCCATCATATTATCAGACGTTAAACACTTTAGAACATTAAGTATTGAATAAAAAAGTAATGGAAAAATAAGTAGAAAATATTCGCAGCGGCAGGGTTCGAACCTGCGCGGGGAGACCCCATTGGATTTCAAGTCCAACGCCTTACCACTCGGCCACGACTGCTTGTGTTGAAGAGGAGAAAATACAAAATATATTATTAAATAAAAAATATCGAAAGGAGTTATTGATATTGAAATATAAGAATTAATAATACATATAGTCACACCTGTTTATAGTAGTCACTCAAGGTAACCCAAAAAAGTTACTGATAGAAACAGTTCATCGCTAGACACTGCAGTTTTAGTACTTTTTCTTTTGATATATATATATATATATATCGATCGGAAACTTAGATTTTCAAGCCGGGCCGGGACATTATATACATTTTCGTTCCTTGACATTCTATAGTCAGAATCTCCAAAAAAAAGGACGACGGTTTTTTTTTAAAGTGATGACGGTTTTTTTAGAAAAGAATCTCAAAAAGTTTCTGAATTATGATTTTTTAAAGACAAACGAAATATTGAAAAAATTGATGTCCCGGCCCGGTTTATTAAAAACCGGGACACCGGGCCGGGCTGGGACGCTCAAAAAACATCTGGGACACGGTCCGGGTAACTGGTCGTTTCCTGATATATATATATATAATTATATATATATACAGGCCCGGCTCTAACCACTTTGGTACCCTAGGCAAGATTTTATGTGGCGCGCCCCCCCCCCCCCCCCATGCATCGCAGTAAATGCCACTGCAGTGTACATATATCACAAAGAACTGAATATCGTTGTTCTAGATATTGTTTTATTTAAATAAA